TTATTACCTGGTGGAATTCAAAAACTATTTAATGAAAGGGAAGTGGGATACAATTTAAGGGGTCAGTTAAATTATAAAATTCATGCATGGGGTAAAACTATAGAATAATTTAAGTGTGGACATAAAAAACAACCCACAAGTCACTAATTACAGAAAGCGACACAGCTGAGGTGCCGATCCCGCAAAAAGAACGAGTAGGAGAGAGAAAGGCAAAAGAGAGGCAGGTCGCGCCGAGCGGACCTGACAGTATTGATATGAATACTTGTTTCTCTACAAAAACCTTTCAACCATAAAGACTGAAAAACAATCTTTTATGTTCCATAGATTTATTTATTTTTATTGTTTAACTGTGATTGTTGAAGTTATGGCCCCTGCTTAGTGATGAATAGAAAAAGTTGTGGAAAGTAACTAAGTACTTTACTCGAGTATTATACTGAAGTACAATTTTGAGGTATCTGTACTTTGCTTGAGTATTTTCATTTTACGCTACTTCATATTTCGACATCACTACATTTTAAAGGCAAATATTGCACTTTTTACTCCACTACATTCATTTTCTAACTTTAGTTACTAGTTACTTTTCAGAACTAGATTAATACAAAAATGACGGTATAATTATAAGACTTTATAGATCTTGCATAGGAAATTCACAAGCTACCCAGCAGTAATTCCAATTATAAGCATAAATGGTTATAATAATAAAAAATAATTTATTTGTTTATATAGCGCTTTACAACACCAAAGGGAGCGCAAAGTGGTTTACAATAAAACAAACCGAGATAAAACAGAGCATGCCAAAAATACATAAAGAAACAGAAGAAAAGTTAACATTGCACAAATTTAAAACAACGATCTATAAGAACTATAAAATTCCTGTAAAATAAAAATGAGTCAAAATACAGAGAGAGTAAGATTACAAAATATAAAATCAGGAAGGCCTATAGCATTGCTGCTAAATATTAGATGCCAAAAGCCCGTCTGAATAAATGTGCCTTTAATTTAGACGTAAAAACCATTAACTTCGTTATAGATTGAACCTCAGGGGGCAGGGCATTCCAGAGCTTGGGGGCATGCACGGTGAATGGCTTTTTCTAGGTCGACTCCAGATAAAAAAGGTTTCACCTTTGCTAGGAGCCTCAGCTGAAGCTTATTTTGATCACCGAACTAATTTGCTTGACAAATTTGAGGCTGCTATCAAATAACACTCCCAGATTTTTCACAGTTTGAGTGAATAACGGGGCTGAAGCTCCTAGGCCAGATACAGTGTGGGTGGGGTCTGGGCTAAAAGCGATATATTCAGTCTTCCCCTCATTTAAATGAAGAAAGTTCTGTGCGAGCCACTCTTTAATATCACCCAAACACCTGTGCAAGGCAGCTAGTGCATTAGAATCACTCTGCATCAATGGCAAGTAAATCTGCACATCATCAGCATAAAAATGGAAACAAATGTTATGCTTAAAAATAATTGCGCCTAATGGTAACATGTATAATGAGAAAAGAATAGGTGCCAGGACTGAACCTTGGGGAACACCCGAAGAGAGAGGTAGAATCATTAATCATAACTGAAAACAACCTATTGGTCAGAAAATAAGTAAACCACTCAAGCACAGCACCACGCAAGCTGATGCAATGTTCAAGGCAGGATATGAGGACTGTATGGTCCACGGTGTCAAAGGCTGTTGTGAGATCTAAAAGCACTAAAACAACAGTATTCTTTGCATCAAAGGATATAAGAATATCATTGTGCACCTTCAGTAGCGCGGATTCAGTGCTGTGCTGGGATCTAAAGCCTGATTGAAAATTATCGGCAACAGCATAAAGTTCAAGATTAGACTGTAGTTGTGTGAGGACAATTTTCTCCATAACCTTGGACAAAAAAGGCAAATGCGAGATTGGGCGAAAATTTGAAGGAAGTATGGGATCGAGGTTAGGATTCTTTAGAAGTGGCCTGACTACAGCATGCTCGAGGGCAGCGGGGACAATACCCAGCCTGAGGCAGCTGTTAATAACCTTTACCGAGCAAGGCCCAATAGTGTCAATGACCTCCTTCATTATCCTAGCAGGGACAATATCCAGAGGGCAATAGGTTGAAATTAGCTGTTGCACTGATTTTTTGAGTTGCAACAAGGAAATTGGCATAAACCCAGCATTGCCTTTGTAAAGTACGTTGGTCGACCAGACATTGCTTTAAAGTGTTATATAAATAAATTGTGATTGATTGACTCAGAAACTCAAATGGCATTATAGGGTTCATGTCTTGGAAAAAAGAAAAGACAAGCAAGAGCAGTGTGAACACAAAAAACCACCAACACATCATCTCAAGACAATATTTTGTTTTCTCATAGTTAGCGTCATGATCATCAGTTTCATAAATAGATCCATAGATTTTCATACAGTTAGAAGTCATATCACAGCATGTATGTACAGATTTTAACATTACAAACAAAAACAAAGCAACAGGCCAAGTCATGCCCAGCACATAGACTGATCCCACAGAGTCAGTCCAGTCCGACTCTCAACCAGTTTGACAGAATACTTCAGGTTGTTTAAATATTAAAATTGAGGGGCAGGTAAACTTCTATGATTTAAAGATTTTTTTGGAGGGGGGCAGGGGGTGACTGAGATTCAGTCTTGTACATTTCGTTTTCTGCAGTTGATATTTTTGACATTCATGGTTGTTTATGCATCTTTTAACCTCTAGAGTCCTGAGCTTTGGAATCACAGAACAGAAGGTTAAAAAAATCATAATTAAAAACAGGGGAGCTTGAATATGTCTGAATCTCTCACCCCAGGTCAATTGAATGCGGGTATTCTTTGCAGTTTACCAACAAAACAAAGCAGATATCTACATGCAGTTATAACAAAGCACAGTCTGCTAGAAGCATCAAGTCCAGGACATAGTCATAGCCCAGTCAGCAAAAGCTAGTCTGGTGTGATCCAGGATGTAGTCAAGGGCCATGTGGCAAACAGAAAATCCAGAATAGAAGAAAAAAAGGCAGACAGGATGCGTTTGTCTTTCACTTTAAAGTTCATCCCTTAAAAAAAAAAAAAATCACAGAACAGAAGCAAATTTAAAGACGGTGTCAAAGAATAATGAAGTGTTTTAAGCAGGAAGTAGACCCAACCCAACAGAAAAATAAAATGATCTCAGCAGCAAAACAACAACTGGTTTTCTGCACCATTTGGTCTCCCCGGTGACGACAGAAATAATCACAAACACTTGTGTAAGACAAAGTACAGTTCATGTAATCCAAGACACAGACATGGCCCTGGAGACATTTTGCATCTCGAACCCCAATGCTGAAAAGGACTGATGACAAAAGCAGGGCTGGACAGGAGCTTTAGTCTCACAGACAGATACCTCGAGGCAAAACAAACACTGCATCACAACTGAAGCTTGTCATCTTCAGGTTTTTACACATCTTTACATTTAAAAAAATCATAATTAAAAACAGGGGCTGAAATTTGAGCAAACTCCTAAGATCCACATTTCAATCAATTTTTGCAACATTGATGTTTGAAAATGAGATTTGCATGGATTTTTAAATGCTTGAAAATAAAGTGAACTCCAAAAGACAGGTCCTAATTACAGTACAAGTATGAAAGCTGTCTATTACACTCCAGAGAATAGTCTGGGCCACATCCCCGTCACAGTTATACGAGACTCGGACAGTGGCAGGAGACACAGGTACATTTAGGAGGAGAGGATAAACTAGTCTAAAAACAAAACATCAAAGTGAACAGGTGAATTTTAGATGTCCATCCGATGTGGTCGAATCTTCACTCTGTCCTGTCAGAATACTGATGGCTCCATTACCCTGGTCACATCAGCTTTCCTCTGTCTGGGTGGGGGTCGTCTGCTTTTACGTTGTCCTGGAGGAGGCGGTCAGCAGCAGGCAACGGGACGTATCGTGTTACTGGTGACGTTTCTGCCACTGTGCCTATCCACTGCAGCTGATAACGTCATAGCTTTGAAGCAGGACTTTCAGTATTTGGATCAAGTAGCTTGAGAAAAATAAGGTGTTTCATGTTTGGTCAACATTTAGGAAAATGGAACCATCAGACGGACTAGTGTACATTTGCATCTATGCTACGAATATTATCCTTCTGCGAGGAGGAATAACCATATCTCCTGTTCATACCAGCTGTGTAGTGATCACTTCATAAGACAGCTGTAAGAGTGACATTGAGATTAAGATGAGACTTTATTAAACTTTAATTTTGGCAGATCTCCATTTGATCTGTGCAGCTCATCTCTTACCGCCTCGTTAGGAAGTGGCAGAAAAGCACATCAATATATTGACTCTAAACTCTGACAGTGCAGAGAAATTCAGTGTTTACTTCTGCTGCATGTTTCTTTTTCAGGTTGAAAAATGATCTTCACTGACACTTTTTACAGTGTTTGTCAGGTATGTTTGCCAGAAACACTCTGTAGCCCAGGACGTAGTCACATCCAAACCTACAGAAAAGCTGCTTCACTGCAACTTGTCCAGACCATCAAGTCTGATGCAAAAACTCCTCATCACAGGGCTGGCAGGAGCTTTCAGGCACATTTCACAGGCTTCATCAGCTGCTGGTCTTCACTCACTTGTAATGGAGACTGTCTATATTAGTAGATCAACATATGGAACTTGTGAGGTGATGAAAACTGAGCAAAGAGCAGCAGCTGATGAAGCTCATAAGATGCGGCTGAAAGCTCAAAAAAGTTGATTTTGTGATCATGTTTTTGGTCCAACCGTTATTCCCAATGTGAAGAATTCAAATTCTACTAAGGCTACAGTCATACTATCAAACAATCCAGGACATAGACAGACCCCGGGGTTTCATTAAAGGACGATTCTTTTGCAGACATGAAACCCAGGAAATAGTCTGATCACAAGAGTGTTAACTGCACGTAGGAACCAAACCCAAAATATGTCAGTTAAGATAACAGGGCATGTGTGTTCCAGGACATAGCCAGGACCCAACAGACATACAAAGTTAAGACACAGAAATCAGTGGAAGGTAAGACTCGGTCAGTAACAATGTGTGTTTTCCAAGTTGTAGCTAGGACTCAGAGTGGTGCAGTGTAATTACAGTACATTCAGTAGCAACATAAATGAGCTGAGCCCCACTTCCAATGTTCCCAGGTTTTCCATTCCTCTGGTCTCTAAGTAGTTCTTCTGAACTTTTTGAGTTTTGCTCATCACTGAGAAACAATAGGTGGACATTTCCAGCATTTAGTCATAGCCTGTTAGGCAGACTGAAGTGGTGATATCTTAACTGCTCCAGATGGTAGTCAGTGGCTGCAGCACATGGGGAAAGGAAGAAGATTTCCAGACTTTCCAGCCAAGGTGAGCAATAGCAGTGAGAAGGAAGAGAATGGACGGATGAATCCAGGCGATAGTCTCATCCTGATCCAGCTGCACCGCCATTAGGACTGCTCTCTTTACTGAGACGGACTATTTCCTGGGACATAACCTCCAGGTCCTACAGAGAGAGGGAAGTTCCCTGATGTTATGTACACAATCATTTCACTGTGAACTTCAAAATGAACATAGTGACGTGACACTTCTACAGAAAGAAGCTACCACACCAGACAGTGTCTGAGCTGCACCTCGGTGGGTGTCTCTGACCTCCTCTCATGCCCATGTGCTCTCCAGCATATTGGGAAGCAAGCTGATCTGTTAAAACCACATTCTGGAGCACAGCGGTGCCACATGTAGACACCACCTGACGTCACCTGTTGCTGGACATGAAGAGGCCATTCGGTCTCTACACTGTCACTCTGTGCCTCACAACAGGCTGCACAACCACAACGAGGGGTTCTAGCACCAGATGCTTTAAACACATTTTGAAAAACAAACCAGTTTGAAGGACAGGTTTGTCATTTTACAGTCTGCTTTAAGTGGAGACCTTTTGATTTTACATCCTGGTCAGTGCAGTCGTTCTGTCCCTGCTGAGCTGCAGCTGACAGACACTAACAGACTACAACAACGCTACTGTTCAAACATTTGGGCTTGCCTCCATTTCTCTGCTTCTTATTAATATTTAAGCAGCTCGAGTCCAGTGAATCTCCTTAAAAAGGTACAAAGCTAAGAAGTAAACTTTGTCTATGTACACATCACGAGTGCTGTTGGTATCAACTTATCCATGCAGCCGTGTTTAAAGCTCCGAGTCAGTCTGTAGGTGCGTTACCTTCTGCAGGTGCATGTTCTTGGTCAGCTGCTCCTCCAACATGTGCTGCAGTTTCTTGTTCATCTCTCTCAGATTCTCATCTCCTGGTTTCACCAAATCTCTGAGGACCGAACCCAGACCTCCTCTGTCTCCCTGAGAGCCTCCGTGCCCGACCGCACTGCCCGACACATCTGAGGAGACGAGGACAGGTGGTACTGATAAAGCAGGTCACACTACTAGAATCATCAAATGGCTGCTTTCGGTTTGTGACGTTTCTCTGCTGTCCGACTGGAAACAATCACAACAAAGCTGCTATGTTTCAGCAGCTGATTCACCTGAGGATTACGTACACACCGTGCATGTGTACAGTGCACGTGCCACTGGTCAGACAGTTCTATTGTATAAACCGCGGCCTAAACAAAACCACAGCTCTGCAGTGTGAATACAGGGTGTCTGTGGTTTGCACTGAGCCACCTGACATGAGTCTGGTATCAGTTAACCAGACCACGAGTCTGCAGCCATGCACAATCAACACAAACAGTGGTGGTGACCATTTGTTCACCAGTCATGAAGAAGTAAAGGCAGTGACAAGGCATTCACAGCTTTACTACCCAACACACTCCACCTGATACTACCACAGCAGCTTGTAAATCACATATGATGTTGTCAAATCTGACAACTACTTGAACGGTGCATCAAAACAAGACATAAAGCCTGCAGCGTCCACATGTTCTGTCTTTGTGAGGACCCTCATGGACATAATGCGCCTCTTGGCCCCTTATCGTAACCTTCCAACTCCAGGCCCCCCCCCAGAGGAAAATTGATGGAAGAGAAAAAAGGAACAATGCAGAAAGAAATAAAGGAGACCATGATAGAAAACAGCAGCAGAGAAGCTGACCAGGTTTTTATGTTGCAGTACACACACACACACACACACACACACACACACACACACACACGGCTGCATGTTCCTATAGAGCAGCAGTAGGCAGATGCCGACAGTGCAGAGTATGTGTGCTGTTAATATTTAACACCTGTAACTCTGCTTGGTGCATGTTTACAGCGTCACACAGCTGGAAACAGGTGCCTGTTCAACCTGTGTGAGGGCCTGGGAGACAAATGGTTAATGAGCATCCACAGTCCGATTCATACCCAAGATTTTAAATGATTACGACAAAGCCACAGTGACACATTTGCAGGTTCCAGCCTCCTCACTGCGAGACTCTAATGCCGTTTGTTGTTTCACATGATACTAAAGAGAATATTTCTGGGACATGTTAGTTTTGACTGACCAGGAATTTGTCACTGTTTTCTGACACTGAACTAAGAAACTGACTGGCAGATTAACTGGAAATGAAAATGACAGAGCCTGGAGGTTTTGGCTCCAGCAGACAGGACGGTGCATCGCTGCAGCGTCGTGGTAGCCGTACTGGTTAAGTGGACCATGACTTCTGAATAAATCTCCACCAGTGTAACCAGTAAAGGCCCCAACCCCACCTCCACGGTTCACGATGGGGGACCTCACAGGCAGACATCATCAGGTCACCGTCTGCATGTCTCACTAAGACACCACAATTAGAACCAGACTCCTCAGACTCCGTCCACACTTCTACTGGTCTAATGTCCAGTCCTTGTGGGTCTCCCCTGCTCCTCTGGCCACTCCTCATCAGCTGTGGAGCCTCTTCTGCTGTTTGACCATGAAGGCCTGATCCACACAAGGCTCACGTTATTGAAAAGCTCAAGAAGCTGGTGAAATCTGTGGCTACTCTGACTTCTCACATAAGGACCAATATTTTGCTAGTGTTGTTTCATAAGTGCTGACTGGTGCTGTAAGTGAACACTGGATGTCTGTACGTAACTGTGTTTGTGGGTCTCAAGCAGCTGTACTATCAAATATTCAGCACACACTCAGAGTCCAGTGTGCAGGAGCAGCAGCTCAGCTCTTTGTTTTACTGCCCATTAGATTTACCATTATTACAGTGTTAATGCTCGTGGGTGGAGAGAGAGGGGAGGGTTAAACCAGTCAGACATGAAATTAAAAACAGCAGGAGAGAAAAACCAGAACAATGAGAGGAGGGATGGAGGAAGGGAAACTATCTGCACAGCACATCTGACACCGAGTCACTCAAAGGGCTTGACATTAGTTGAATTCTTAGATGTGTGTGCACACAGTTCAAATCCTAACCGATTTAAAAAATGTAGCAGGCCACAGACATAATGACAGATTTAACTAAGTTTGAATATTTTAATCGTGAGAAGGCACAAACCAGCCGATTCAGGCCAAGCTCCAGGGACCTGGGATCAAATAGCTGCACGATCAAACATGATTCCAGAGCAAAACCTTCGTCGTCAGCTAGCAGCACTTTTCTTTTGTCTCTCCTCTATCCACTCACCCCAACCGGTCGAGGCAGAAGGCCGCCCACCACGAGCCGGGGTCTGTCGGAGGTTCCTTCTGTTAAAGGGAGTCTTCCTCCCCGCTGTCGCCAAGTGCTGCTCAGGGGGGTTCGTTTGGCTTCTCTCTGTAAAACTGTGCGGTCTAGACCGGGCTGTGTAAAGAGCCCTGAGACGACGGTTGCTGTGAATTGGTGCTATACAAATAAAACTAAGCTATGTTTTTCACTAAGAAACCAAAGAGGACAAAACATCTGTGGATTAAACTGTGGACTGTGCAGTGGGAGCTGGAGCCGAGTTGGAAAATGTTACTCTTAAGGGCGTCACGTCACATGACTCCTGTGACACACACTGGGAGCAGCGTGAATTCACTTTGGGACCACCAAAATGGGTGAGTACTTCAGTATTTTGTGCTTTTGACATGGGTAGACACCGCCTGTGTGCAATGCCCTTTAGTCTCTAACAAAGCTACAGTCACATCCGGGCGGAGATGCGGCCAGGATCTGTCCGAGCATCCTGCGGTGTGGGCCCAGCACACGTTCAGATCTGTAATCAGCAACACAGGTCTGTTTTACCAAACCTGAACTGCCTGGCTCTGTGCAGGGGTCGAACCTCCCTTGACCCTGCACGCCGTCAATGGATTAGTTAGTGATTAGTCAATTAATCAAACGAAATGAAGTACCAGTGCCTTAGTAATGTTGTTTTTAATGTGTCTGCAGGGGCAGTCTGTACAAAGAGAATTTAATTGAAAAATAAATGAGTTGATAGCTTGAGTCATTAAAACACTTCTCACACACACACACACACACACACACACACACACACACACACACACAGAGAGAATCACTGTGCTACAACAGTGTACAGCAGCTAAACATAGCGGCACTGAAGCATCACACACACGACAGAGGCCGAGTTCAGATGCACTGACAGAAAATAAGAGCTCTGACCATCTGTTTCACTAAAATCATGAACGGACTTCACTGATCACTGTGGTCAGGAGACTGTGATCAGTGCTAAACCTCCTTTGGCCACCTCTGATGATAAACCCACTGTGTAAACCTGTGTGGCTGTAGTGAAGTGTCGCTGTCAGAGAAACGCCATGCGGAGCCAGTGGACCTTCTGCTGACTGACACACGTTATATGTTCCACTCATTCATCTCACAAACCTGCTGATTATCTTAATAATGACAGAAAAACTGTCTGTCTACAAACTGTCTAAAAGCACAAGAGCGCTTTATGTAAACAGGTTCCTCTATTAAATCACTCTGATGTGTGTGTGTGTGTGTGTGTTACCTCTGCGACTGTCCATCACGTATGCCTCTATGATGGCGCTCTTCCTGCAGATGTCCTCAGCCATCGATGAACAGCTCACCTCCAGATGTTTCACCTGGACAAGAAAAACAAACTGTGTTCACGCTGCTGTCAAACATCTGCTTGGTGATTTCTGGCACCGGGGCAGGAACACACACGTCTCTGACACACATCTTTTTGCTGATCAGAAGCTCCACAGCTCCACATCTCAGCGGTGCTCATGTTATAGCCGGCATAACCAGGAACTTACTGAGCAGCAAGTTTTCTGACGATCAACTAACATTTGAATTATTGCAGCATCAGTCAACACATGCACCCTGACCCCAGAGTGGAACCGGCACAAACACCAGACCCTACAGGGGACATGAATAATACACCCCTTTACTGTTGAGCTGCCTGTCGACTTGAGGGACAGAGTGATGCGTTAAGATTGGCACAAAGCAGAACCGAGATGTTAAAACAGGCCATGGATGCTTTTAGGCTGATTTTCAGCACAGTTTTTGACAGTTTGATGAGAGCGGGGACACATGGGACAGAAACAGGGCATGTGACTTTCACATACATGCCAATCACTCACCTTCTCCTGCAGCATCCATTTCTCCTGCTGGACCTCGGCGAGTCGCTGGAACAACTCTACCACCTCGTCATCGGACAGATCGGCAGGACGCTGAGACTGAGGGCTGCCCCCCCCAGACTGACGGAGACACAAACAGAGAGTCATTACTCAGCTCAGAGACACTGGACATAGTCCACACCACACAGCCGTCTCGCTCCAGGACACTGTGGCAGCAGCGGTCGCTCACGTGGGATTCAAACTTTCCAGCTGTTGGCTGTAAGGACATCAGAACAAGTGGTGTCACCCTTTGTGACGTCTGCACTGTCAGAGGCCAAAGAGTGTAACAGTGTAAAAGAGAATGTGAATGAGAGGATCCATAAGGGACTTGTTGGGCCAGGAAGCCTAATACAACCAGCTATCAGAACCCATCCCTACAAATGACATTTAGACCCCGTTTACACTTGGTTTGACAATGTGTCCTGGGCGACTGGATCACAAGTGGACAGCTGGGCACCTTGGAGACCGGCATAGATGACTGTCCACTTGTGATCAGATCACTGAGACTCATTTTGGTGCCAAGTCTGAACGGGACCTTACTCCAGTATATGTCCAGTGCCTACAGTTTCAGCAACTAACTGTACAAACTGAACCTGTCAGCTCTATTTACAGTGTTTCTATCAAGAGAAACACACACAGCACCGCCGTGATGACACAGTGACGCAGTTTAGAACAGCAGCAAGACTGAGGAGAAATAAATGTAGAATAAAACTAAAGCAGAAAAGAGTGAAGACAGAACACGTTAATATCTGATACAATGACAGGCTGCTACACTTCAGCCTGTCACCACCACGTCAGCCCATCGCCATGGCAACAGGGAGACACAGGTCACAGCGAGTCTCACAGGTCAAGACCTCAAACTGTCACAGATCACATGATGCTGAGGAGGGAGGATGAATAGAGGAGAAAGATGGAGGGATAGAGACATCCCCCAGACTCTCTGGAGCCTTTGGGGATGTTCACCATAATGTCTGGTGACGGATCTGATCCAGACATTGTTCACACCGGGTCCTCAACTGAGGGAGGATGAAGCTGACCAAGTTTCTCCAGGTCTCAGACCTGTCAGCACTCTGAACTACGCTCAGGAACTGGTGCTCCACTCTCACAGTGTCTCCACCCACCTTGTTCTGACTGGACGGCTCAGCCTCCTTCATCATGTCTTTGTAGGAGAAGGAGGAGACGGAGGACGAGTCTCCGGTCTGCTGAGTCCGACTGGGACTGTTGATCTCTGACAGAACCAGCTCCTCCAGACCTGAGAAGGATAAGACGAGGATCAGGATGAAGGCTGCAGAAAACACATGTACCCTCTTAACGTGCATTTGTGTCAGACTACACACTAATGTTCCAGGTGCTGTGGTCCGACATGTTTTTGGTAGCAGACACCTTTGTCGGCTGGTTGGTGCTCTGATGTCTCATCCACAGGGTTTGCAGACTGACACTGAGCCCATGTAACCATATTTCTACTAGTGTGACCAAAACCTCAACTACCTCGTTCAGGACCAACTATTACTATAAATCTCTGGGCCGCTGTGTAAGTGAGCGGGTCCAGTTCACTGGCTGAAAGGCACCACTCATTTCCTTAAAGAGGAGTGTCACAGCCTTAAAGAGCTGGTCCTGTGTGCGCCTTCCTGGTAGTCTGGCAGGAATCTCATTGGCCTTGATAAAATGGTCAGAACTCTTTGGACTTCAAGGGTGAAGGGAAGATTTTACATTTTAAATGGTTTAAAGGGTCTGATGAAGCTACATGGCAGCGGCTGAAGGTGCTGCCTGTAAAGGACCATGCACTGATTTACAAAGACAAATTTTAGATATACATCTTATTGTTTTCAAGGGAGAGTTTGGAACAATCAGAAGGTTCAAAGGCATTGATTGTTTGGGAATGTCCCTTTAAGGCAGGCAACCAGCACCTCAGGAAAGTCAGTTTAAGGCGGCAGACCATCAGTTTAAGCAAGTCAGGGCCCCAGTAAAGGAGTAAATTATCCATTTTAGACTGTGAGAGGTTCTTTTAAGACTGTGGACTGCACCCATCCTTGTTAGGCACTGAGGAGTGAGCGGACTGTCCCTTTTGGGGGAGGTGCTGGCAATGAGCAGAGGTAAGTGGGCTACCTCAAAATGTGTGATTCTCCGGTTTGTGCAGAAAAGCCTTTTGATACATTCATCACTACTCATAGATTATAGATGGTGTTGAGGACTGCATTGCTCTGAGTGTGTGTTTAAAAACTGTGTGACTGAGGGGCTGTTACATAAAGAGCATCCAAGAACAAAACAAAAACAATATGAGATCAATATGTAGTGGAAAAACATAAAGCCTGACTGTGCAGCTGTGTGTCAATGTTGTATTTGTGTCTACATATACTGTATGTGTGTGTGTGTGTGTGTGTGTGTGTGTTCTGCCAGAGGACACCGGTGTGTCCACCTCAGCTGTGGGAGACAGAGCACACAACCCACCTATTCCTCTTAATCACAATACGAATAATAAGACTAGAAAAACAGATGTAAAGTAACCGGTGGTGATATAACGTTAGCATAATCCATGAACATAAAGATACAGAAAGAGAAAAGACCTACATGGCAAAATAATAAACTGTCAGCATTTTAGACTGAGACCACACAAAACTTTGCAAATCACGTTTTCAGGGGAGCTCATGTCTTATTAAAGGGAGTGGAGCTCTCCCGTAGTTCACACCGTGCACACACAGCCTCAATAACAAAGGCAGAACACTTCAGGACATTTGTCTGTTCTCGTCTAAATGTTGACTGAAGTGAGACAGGAATCGAGCCACGACCGGCGACGGAGAAAAGCCTAAAATCACGTTTCTTCTGGGCTGAAGTACCGACCAGTCACATAACGCGTGCCTCAACTCATATCAACTCAACCTTTACTTATATAGAACTCTAGATGTCCAGAGTGCTTTACATACACAGGGAGTGGAGCTCTCCCGTAGTTCACACCGTGCACACACAGCCTCAATAACAAAGGCAGAACACTTCAGGACATTTGTCTGTTCTCGTCTAAATGTTGACTGAAGTGAGACAGGAATCGAGCCGCGACCGGCGACGAAGAAAAGCCTAAAATCACGTTTCTTCTGGGCTGAAGTACCGACCAGTCACATAACGCGTGCCTCAACTCATATCAACTCAACCTTTACTTATATAGAAGTCAAAAAAACTAGATGTCCAGAGTGCTTTACATACACATGGTCAACATGACAACATAGAGCCAAAGGTGGTCACCAATGAAACTGGTAAAACTCTACTAGGAACTGAAAGCCAAAGGAAATAAGCAAGTCTTTAGTTTGCACTTAAAGAGAGCGAGATCAGTGACAGAGCGTTCCACAAATCAGGAGCAGCCACAGGGTGTTAAGGTGTGTAGGTACCTGTCCTGGTCTTGCTGTTGGTCAGTATCTCCTGGAGTCTCTCCTGCAGTTTGTCCGCTCGCTTCCTCTCCAGGTGCAGCTGCCGCTTCAGATCCTTCAGCTACACACAGGGTCACCGGATTTACTTTCATGACTGTTTTTAAATTAATCTGCAAAATATATCTTCTCTCATCTTTATTGAAATTCTTCTGTGTTTTCACCCATCTGTCCTACCCGACAGAGTCCGTGCACACGTTTCTTGGCACGTTTCGTGTCTTTGGCAACATCAGTCACACAAACATTTAACTCACCGCTGCACTCCCCTTCTTCTCCAGAATCCTCTGACCATCCACAGTGTCCTTTATCTCCTACGGCGAGAGGACAGAGCGACGGAGGTCAGACACAGAAAGGACAACAGTAAAAATGATTATTCCTGGAGTCTGATACAGCTCTTAAAGGACCATATCAGCCATTCTGCTAATTTCAGCTACGTACAGTACATCATAATCATGTTTGCTAGACCCGTTTTTTTAAAGCATGATGAATAAAACTCAAAACAGGAAGTGTAAACATGCTCCTTTGTGAAACAGCATCCACACTGTCCACAGGCCCCAAGTCCAGTGTCAGAGAAAAGGTTAGGAACCACAACCTCAACGACAGCCTCATAACCTTAAACTGGAGTCTGGTCACAAACTCTGCAACAGCAACTGATCCAGGGATGTCTTCTTAAAGGCACAGTCAGCGATTCTAATTCATTTTGTCATATTCAGCTAAAATGTTCCTCACATTTCTGTGCCTGACCGTCCAGTCTGAGCTCCACAAAGCCCAGATGGCCATGTCTGAGTCAGGACAACTAGTTTCAGTCAACACAAGGAGGCACTCTTGCTCATGTATGGGGGGGGGGGGGGTCCCACCAAAGCTGCAGCCAAAAGGGAGATGGCTGAAAAAGTACCAGCTCCACCACTTCCACTTACAGCCTATAAGACTAAACACCCAGGAGGAGAAAGACATAAGCACAGAGAGCCATGAAAACACAGCTAGGTGCTGCTTTCCAAAGATGGAGAGCGCTCTGGGATTAGAAAGGGATGAGGATGGACACAGAGGGTGCTCTTTGTCTGCTGCACAGGTCGGTCAATCATTTGCTACTGTATGTGCCACTGAAAATCATCGTGGTCAGTGTGATGTTGTACAGTTAGGCAGGCTAAGCCCTGTGGTAATGTTAGGTTGGCAAATTAGGCATCACCCGTGTCATTTTCCTGGTTTCATATGAGGGTCATGAGAGAAAAGGTTTGAGAACCAAATGAATGGAAATGAATGAGAATTCAGGACTTCGACTCACAGTGTGTATTGGAAACACTGGACACATCCACGACCCCTAAACTGTAAAAAAGGTGCTCTTCTCTCCTTATAGTCAACCAAACCATAACGTGCATTTCTCCAAGCCTATAGGTTCCTTCTGAAGACGTCATTAAAAACGCCAGTGTGGGGTTTCAGTGTCTTGCCCAAGGACACTTCGACAGGTGGACTGCAGGCACTGAAATTCGAACCCCAAACCCTCCGGTTGGGAGACGACTGCTCTACCCACTGAACCACAGTCGCCCCCATTTTGATGACAAGTGTCCGTTGTTACCTGTTTGAGTTTTCCGATGGTGTCGCTGTGTTCATCCCTCTGTTTCTCCACCTCCACCAGCTGCTGCTCCAGTCCCTCCATCTCTGACTGCTTCGCCTGGAGGACACAGAGGGACAGAGAGAGAGAGGAGAACATTAGTTTTTTAAAAGGCAGTGAGAGCAGAAGCTCAACAGCTCCCAGGACTGATGAAGAAGACAGCATGAATCCCCGTCTTCAAAGAAGCAAAGACACAAAGAAACAGGACAGGGAACAGGGCAAGACAAGGATAAACACTGGTGTGGCCTTTCCCACATGGAAGAGGGACAGATGTTTCCAGAATGATGCTGAAGCTGAACACCTGTTGGACAAGTAATTTACCCTAACAAGTCAAGTGAACAAATGCAAGTTTTTGTCTGCTTCAGCTAGAACATGGCCAGTGCTGAGTAATTCACTGTGGTCAAGTGAGCCGCCTTAACTTTTGCTTGGTCAGGTCAGCTGAACTTGATTTCTGAGTGTGCAATTTGTCCTGCATTTACGGTAATTGATGTGAAGCAGCTGTGAGGGCTGTTTGCAAAGAAGTCAAAGAATCAGCCCTTTGTGAGATGGCCTGCAGACAGCGTGCTCAGGGTGTTGTAAGGTGAGAAGCTACAGAGCCTTTGGGAACTAAAACCCTAAACTGATTGACTCCCATCTGACACCGGTACAACCCAAGAGATCAGGGTCTTGCAAGGAGCAGAAGAGGTTTTCTGATGATGCATGTGATTATTTTTAACACTTGTTAAAACACTTAACACACGACAGACAGGAAGCAACATCTAACACCTGAAACCCACACTCATGGCACGCAGACTACCTGCCTGCTAATTAGACTTCCTCCATCATTAATTAAGTTTTCCTCAATGTGCTCTCAGTGCCAGGCTGTTACCCAGCAGATAACACACACACACACACACAGAGTCTTAATCTGGTTATCTGAAAAAACCTGACATCCACAGACATGTGTCCTGTGATGCACAGCTAGTTGTGCTCTATGGGTTAGACTTTAATCACAACTCCAGGGAGAAACACTGTGAGGCCTTTGTATGACTGTGGGAATCTGAAACGTGCTCTCGTTACCAGGGTGAGTTCTTGTATTTACTTTTTCTTGGCAGTGCATTTGACTTGTTGGACTGTGGGAAATTGTGAGACACTTTCAATGTTTATGCTTCATCAGGGGGGGTCTGATCCATCCTGCAGCCTGATGCTGAGCCCAAACCTCCATCAGGGTCATAAAGAACTATGTTGTAAGAGCAGAAGGACCAGCAGCCCTGCAGCAGGTGGTCAGAGACCATGGAGTCAGTCTGGGGTCACATGCAAACAGAGACACTGAGACAGCCCGAAACAACATGAGAACTGTGGCAGCGCCTCCAAGATGCTAGACCAAGGTCCCTGCCATGTACCTGGAAACACTGTGAGGGTGGACTGAGGAGACCCAGGGCTGATTTAAGGCAAAGGGGGGGGGGGTCACAGCAAATACCGGTCTGGTTTAGGCGTGTTCTCTTTACTGCACGTTGGATGACGTTCACTGAGAAAACTATTCAAGGCACCATTCGTGAAAGCATCCTCTGTGCTCCTCATGACAACAAACAGATTGGTCTTGGAGGTGCAGCTGTTTTCAGGCAGGATTCTGATTTGAGGGTCTAAAAACAGAAGCCGTCGTTCTGTGAGGACCGCAAAGCCCCTTGAGAAAAGTTCGTGATTTGCTTTATAAATAACACCTGACAGTACTTAAATTTAGCTTAGTGTTGGTCTGTACTGCATCTTCTTTACCTACACTCACACCACCACCAGACAACTCTTTGGCACCTGAGTCACTTCCTCCATCGGAGGCCAACTCATTTGTTGCTTTGCTTAATTCTGTGAGGTTAAACATGCCAAGTGGACACATGGACATGTTGCCAGTGATTTGTCACCACACTGACAACAGTCACACAACATGTAAAATACTACTAGTAGTGTAAAACAAGCTCACTGCAGTTTCTTCTGACAGCAACCATGTTGGGAAACCAGATTACTGAGCTACTCAAACTGCAGACGTGCAAAAAGCTCACTGCTCATTCCAGGGTGATTAATAAAGTGTCCTGACTCCCAGAACTGAACATCCTACAGCCGATGTGGACCAGTTCTGCCTGACTCTAAAGTGGGTTGTGGTTCACCTGGACACCGTCTGCTGGGCTTTACACACACACACCATCAGTGTCTGCAGATTGTTGGCTGACTGTTAATTGTCTGGTCTGACCTCAAACCGACTCCAAGGCAAGTGAAGCTGTGTGTCCCAACTTGTAGTGTAAAAACAAAGACGTGTCAATGTGGTGACGTGGCAGGAAACAACAGAGGAAAAGCAAAAACATACACACTAAAGCCTGATGAGTGTTTTGTGTCAGATGCCAAATGAGCTCCATCCGGAGTGTATTACCCTCCACGCTCTGTTACAGGCCGCCAGGGCTCACGCTCTGATCCGCACTTAACACGATTTAACCTCTCCATGTTACCATGGAGACAGCTACACTTTAATTAGAAACACACATTCAATTAGAGCTGGACACACACACCCCTACACAGACTGTATGTATAAGCAAACACCCACGCACACACACATTTATGTTCACAGAAACGCCAACTGAAACTGTGTGTACCTGCAGCTGCAGTGTGTGTTCTCTCTGCAGCCGCCTGATGTCCTCCTGATGCTCCACAGACTTCTTCTCTATGTTCTCCTGCTCACACACACAAAGAAAATGGGTTTTCAGTCAGACAAATGCAAATGAACCACGTCACTATGTTCCCAGGGAGAGGCTGCGCCTCCTAATGCATGTCTTTGTATGAGGGCAGGGGTCTGTCCACATTAAAATCATCATAACTCACAGAATTTCCAGCTGATTTTCCAGCTGTCTGATTTGTTACAAACCCCATGTATTTGTGATACAGGATGTTTGGTTAAATTATCATATCAAAACAAGTCATCTTCTGTAAATTGTAACTAAATATTTCTAACATATAGAATGTACACTTTGCAATGAGTAATGATCCTGTTGACGACTGTCGCACTCTCCCAGACACACACGCAGATGTTCAGCCCCTCAGTGTGTGACTGTTAGTGTCCTACAATAAATGTGTGAGCTTTACTTTCTGCAGTTTTTCTCGTCTGTGTCTCCACAGTCTCTTTTACATCACAGGTTAGGGTGAAAAAATAAAAACCTGACTCTGTGGAGGCGAACATGACTAAAAAAAGCAGTCTGACTTGACTAACAACAAAACATAAGCACAGCACATTAAAGAAGAGTTCTGTCTTTTTTGATAATTTCTAAATGGATTTGTGCAGGTTTACTGGCAACAGACACTACAGACAGCGATATCCTCAGCCCTACAGAAGACAGGTTTCATGTTCATGAGATAAGATTTGATTTAAAATATTTTTAAGCCCTCAAACCTCTCAGGCCCTCATGGCTCAGCCCTGCTGAATGTCCAGCTCTATTACTCATATGCACCACAGCATAATGTGAAGTGAAAACAGAGTTTTTTTTGGGGTGGCTGTTGCATCTTGTCCTAAATCTGAGGCCTGGTCTTGTAGGTCCTGTATCAAAACACTTCATTACTTCAGCTGATGTTCCGCCAGCCTTCTTTCAAACCCACCAGGAGACAAGAGGATTCTGTTTATAGCGGAGCTCCAGGACGTCAACTAACCTAGTGAAGCTAGTTAACTGTCAGACTGACCTCTGCCTCCTTGAGTCGCCTCTCGAACCAGCCTTTGGTTCCCTCCATGGACTGGACCTGAGTCTGCAGCTCCTCCACCTTCTGCTGAAGCCCCTCCAGATCCTTCGTACGGGCCTGAAAACACACAGACACAGGACATAAACATATATGATGATCAGCCATGAGCATTTCCTCATTCTCCTCCTCCACTGTCTTTTAGTTCTCCCTGCTGATGCTCCTCTTCACCTTCTCGTCTCGAAGCTGCTGGCGGATCTCTTCCTCGGAGCGATTCTTGTCTTCGTGGAGTCCTCGGAGCTCCTTCTCATATCGAGCCCTCACCCCAAGAACCTGAGAGGAGGGGAAACAAGAAGAGAATATTCATACTTCAGTCACAACATCTGAGGCAACCGCTTTGTGTTCCTACACATTTTAGAACCTGAGAATATACACACAAAAATGTAAAAGGAGGAAAAACACATCAGGGTTAATTAATACGAAGAAAACAAGGACTCAAAGGGTCAAGAAACAAATATTCAAAAGAAAGTTTTAGATACAAAAATTATGAGTCAAAACCATGCAAAAAGTCAGAATGAAGAGACCGGGCATTACCTCCTTCTCATGCTGCAGCTTGAGGTCTGACAGCGCCTCCTTATGGTCGAACTTCTCCTGGTTCAGCTGCATGGCCATGTCATCCAACATGGCCTTCCTCTTCTCTGCCATCTGCTCACACACACACGTTTGTGATGATCATCGTGTGTTTAAGAGCTTAATAATTCATGTGTGTTGTATGTAGATGTGTGCATCATGTAAACAAGCGTGTTTGTTGTGTGTGTGTGTACCTTCTTAGCCTCGTCCAGCTCTCTCAGCAGCCTCTCTTTCTCTAGTCCTTCTTCTGTCAGCTGTTCCAACAACTTCCTGCTCGCAAAACTCGACTCCTGAAAGAGGGAAAAGACAGATATACATTTTACAGTAGGGATGAAATGAATATAATATTCCCATATGTACCAATAATGTGCTCTCAGGAGGGACAACAGACATCTGAATCTGTACACAACTATGTGTTTCCATCAAGTTGTGTTGTGTCACATCCAACTAACAATTTTCCTCAAAACTCTTCCACAGCTCATATGTCTGTATAATTTCATCTCATTTCTTCTGGACCTTCTTTTCTTCAGTACTAAAAGGTGACTGTCTCCTAGACAATGAAAATTCAAATAGAACTACAAGTGGTTAATTGTCATGATGCACGTGTGGTAAACGTAAATAAATACAGGATAAAAACATGGAGGTGTAGATGGTCTTAAGTTGAATATTCAGCTACATAAGGTCAACAGCTTCCCACAGATCTAAGCTAAAGCTTGGCTGATGCCTGGAGCCTTCTCCAGGAACTAGCATGACTGAACATGGACGGCAAACTGACCTGCTCTAATCAGGCACAGTCTTAACAGTGACCACACAAAATGGCCAAGAACTGTTTCACAGTTTTGTCAATACTCTGCTTATTTTGCTCACGCTGGCTTATTTTCAAATGGGCCTCTGTCCATTATAGACAACCTCCAATTTTATTTTCTGTTTGTTGTTATAAATATATTCTGTGTGCAGCTAATTTTAAACATAAAGTACATCCACCCCGTTTAGATCAATGAGGCTAAACACCAGTAGCAGCTCTTAGCGTAGCCCGGTCCAGCTGAGCAGCAGCACAACCTGCAGCCTCCACAGTGACCACACAGGTGAACCAGCACCTCTGAACACAAACTGAACATCATCATCTTCAAGGAGGAGGCTTTACTGCAGGACTGTTGGTTTAGACTGACTCAGTCTGACACAAGGGTTCCTAATAAACTGACAACTCTGGGTGAACGTACATAGACAGAGATATATGACAGCTAATTTCATCACTGGTGTGTCGTCTGTACAGCAGCTGCTGCTGTTCAGGCTTTATACTGTGCGTGTTACCTGCAGCTGTGAGTCGAGGTCGTCTCTCTGAGCCAACAAACTCTCCTGCTCAGCTCGTCTCTGCTGCAGCTCGGCCATCAGCGCCTCCTGCTGCTCACGCAACAAATTCATCTCCTGGGTCTTCACCGTCTGGATCTACACACAGGCGAAGAACTTGGTTCAGCTTCAGCCTTTAAAACAACATCTACTGGACCAGAGTCTGATAATGGAGCTTCTAAATGAGAGTCAGAACGGAACCACAGACTCCACCAACGTGCATGTTTAATGCTACACACAAGAGTTAAGACGGTGCACAACAGCAGACATGACACAGACGACAGGTGACAGTAAATGATGTTAAACACAAAAACAATGAAACAGATTTGTAAAAACCACTAAAGTGGCAGAGGTCTGATTTATACCAGTAAGAGATAGTAGAAACAGGAAATGACATCAGGTAGTTGATGAGTGGAATCTTATGGAGCCTCATGTTGACTGTACAGTCGAGTCCTGTGTCTACTGGACAGTCGGTGCCACAGAGGAGGTGGGTGACTCAGAACACACACTGGGCTCTAGTCAGGGCTTTATGTGAAGGCCCAAGACTTCCTGGAGAGCAGACTACTACATGGGGTTCTAGATGAGGGCTGAGGGGCCCTGAACTGCTTCACCATAGAGTTTCAGGTGTCAGTAAACTCTAGCTCAGATTTACAGTGGTTAAACATGTACTTTATGACTTAATAACAGTATTAAGGTTCTAGTTGAGGTTCTACGGGGCTCAGATAGCTTCAGACCAAAGTTGAGGTTCTATTTCAGTGTTTAAGGAGCACACAGATTAGTCCCCAGAGTACAGGTCTCCTGTAAGACACAGTTTCATATAGAGTGAGGTGTGGCCTTGCAGGTAATTCTGTTGTTTCTGGAAGAAGATATCCCAGAATTCATCTGTTCCTGCTGGCACTGGGGGCGCAGGCCTTGCACTGCTCTACATGTAGATATAAGGAAACTGCCCTTCTCTGACTGGGTTTGAAAGTGGGTCGAAGCTTTCACCAGTTCTAAAGCAGCTTGACCAGTCATCAGCCCAAGGGTTAAACATCTAAAGACATGTTTATGATGTTAGCTCTCAAAACCGTTGTTAGACCAGGGTCCTGTACGTCAATCTGCACCCATGTGACCAGGAGTCCTAGTTATCGGTCCAGATAGCCTGATCTGTAGGAACCAGTTTATTTCTCTGAAAACTGTCACAGTGAATCCACTGAACGCTGCTTTGTTCTCCGGGTTTATTACCTGTTCTAGAGCTGCTAGGTTTGTCCTCAGAGCATCGTTCTCCTGCAGGATGTTGTCCACCTGCTCCTGACTGACTGCACTCTGACTGGCTGCCTGCAGTACCAGTGCACCACAGGCAGGAGGCAGCAGCAGAGAGGACGAGACGGGAAGAACCAAAAAGAAGAGAGAGAAGGGGGGAAAAATGGAAAAGGGAACCAAGTAAAAAGGCAGAAAACAAAAGAAGACAATAAACGCACAAACCAAACAAGAAAAGAAGACAAAGGAGAGAGGAGGAGGACAAGAGAAGGAAAAAGCAGGTCAGAAACAGAGCAGCAGACGGAGTAACAGCAGCTGTTCCACTGCCAAAGTGTCGCTCGAAAACATATGTGTATTTCTTCTGTCATATGAAAGGCTGGAGGAACAATCAGTCCTTATCATGGAGACATCTCCCTCTCATCGTACAAGCGCCTCTTTCTGTTCTTGGTGAAGATGAACCCGTTTTCTGGAGTGACACAGCAGCCGCTCCTGTGGTCAGAATCCTCCCATCACACCTCCCCTCCTCGCTCCCTGCAACCCTTCCCTTGTTTCCTCATCTCCTTCCTCCCTCCACCTGCTACACCCTTAGGCTTGTTTGGACGACACTGAATCAAGTGTGAATGGAAAACCAGAAATAAATAAACAATCTCTACCGACTCTCACTGTAGACACAGTATTAGCTCTGTTATGTGACAATGTGTGTAGTTAGGTGTGAAGCCATCTCAGTCTGTACAAGTACACATCGATTTGTCAAATTTAAATATATAGATATGGATAAGACTTTTGTAGAATCTTAAAAATGAGTGTGAGAGGCCTTTTGTTAATGAGTGCAAAGTGCAGGTTCTTGAGGAGCAGGAACAACAGAATGTTTCAGCTCCACCCCAGCTACACCCTTGGGCGCGGCCTCTGTAATGTCAGTTCATTCTGTAAACACATCCTTCATCATGTCAGCTTCTGTCAAGACTAAATATTAATTTTCCACAACAGTCTCGTGACTCTGTCAACGCTCACACCCTGGCTTGGTGTTTCAGTGCATATGGGGAAGGCGGAGCTTTTCCAGAAAGCCATAAGCTGCTCAGTGAGGCTCGGGGCTGTGTGACAGTGGAGTTAATAATACAACCTCTAGTCGGCACCAACTTTCTCTGTGGTCGTTCACTGTGAATGTTAGTAGGGCCGAGTACACAGCACAGCTGTCGTTAGGAACCTGGATTCATGTAGATTTTCTCAGGCAATGCTGCGATTATAAAAAATGATTTTATCAGCAGCAGCTTGGGAATGACTGCTGGTTCCATTACAGCCATCTGGCAACAGGAACAGAACAATATGTGAATCAGAACAATAACAGCAAGGATTTGGCTGCATTCAAACAGTGATGACGACTAAGATCAGGAGAGTGAACACACGTGTACAGTCCCTCTGCGGTTTCACTGTGTGTAAGACCGCCAAGTTAAGAAGACAACTTTAAACATGGACGTGGCCGATCACACAGCTGTGTCCTGTCTGCCAGTCATGAACTGATGATTTTACCAGCCAGCTGTTTGTCTCACTCCTCACCAGATGTTGGCTGGGATGCAGTTTTGTTTGTTTACTGAAGAAGAGATCAGTCTATTTTCATGTGATTCACTGTCGACAGTCTCTTAAAGACTAAGACTTCTCAGTGCCATTTAAGATGCACACTGGCACAAAGGTTCGAAGGACGATCAGCTGAGTCTTCATGTTGAATATGAATGATCGGTTCAAGTAGCCACAGTGTGTAAAGTTGGCAGCACCTCAGTGTTTACTGTAGGTGTAGACCTGGACCATGTCTGGAGGTCGCTTAGCGGTGCTGCAGGAGTCGGGGCAGAGCGGGTGGTGCTGGGGCCTTGGTGACGCTCCCCATGTTAACACACAATAACACTGTTGGATGGCAGCGTCTGCTGGAGGCGTCTAACAGCTGTGTGTGTTTTTCTGACTTGTGTTTAACAGGCTTCAGCCAAATACGGAGTGTTGTCAGTTCAGGTCTCACTAAACCTGCATGTCCCCATATTAGGTCGATAACAGTAACACAAACAGCCACCGATGGAAGATGCTGCGTTACCTTGCACAGCACAATGCGCTCGCTGAATGTTCTCTAGAGAAAGAGAGGCGGGGCTACTGTGTCGCATCAACATTTTCACAAAAACACAACATTACAGAATCAATTTGAAGACCAATGACAATCATATTTAAGACTGCTTCAGATTTGTTAAGGACTAAAAACCTTTGGATTTTGACTTTTGTGTGTGTAGCTCAGGCTCACGGGTTCACGCTCCATAAGGCCATGTCATATAAACATCAAGCACCAACAAGTGGCTCATTGTTCACTCTCCTTGCCCTCCGTCGCACTAACCACCACTCCCTCTCATCCTCCACCTCTCCAGTGCTAAAGGTCTGTGGCTCCACCTTCTCCTCGCTGCCTCTACTCCTTTCTTTTGTCCTTATTTTAACACATCAGTGTTTCACTCCTCATGAAGTTTGTGTGTGTGTTACCTGGTCTTTCAGAGTGTGCAGAGCCAGTTCATGTTCCTTCTCTTTGCTCTGCAGTTGCTCTCTCAGCTCGGCTGTCATCTAAAAATACAAATACAGGTCAGTCACTTTGGATTTTAACAAAGCTTGAGCTTCCCCCAGAGAAGTGTTAAGGGATAAAAAATACTCTGCTATGGAAAATATAAAGTCTAACACAGTTTCTTCACCAAAAAGTTCAATAAACCTCTGAAAATGTCTTTCAGATGTTGTGGCGTCACACATTTTGTTCGTACATCCGTCCCCTTCAGCAGTGGGATGTGACACGACCCTGGTAGTGATGAACCTGAACATGCACCAGGCCGTACAGGGCTGACATGTCTGGGGCATAACAATAAGAACTAAGATTTTTGCATGGAGGGGAAGTCGGAGACTGTGGTTACACCTGAGGCAGGTAAAGAGGAGATTACCTTGCTGTCAGGAGCAAGTTATAATGAACCTAGGGAGAGACAACATTGTTGTCATGCTAAGGAAGTTCTGCTGTGTCTGGTCTGACCTGATTGGCTGCCTGGAGGTCAGACTGCAGTTTCTGGATGCGGACGTTCATGACCTTCAGCTCCTCCTCTTTCCTCTGGTTGATCTCATCGATTTTTGTCCTGTAGAGACACAAACACTGCACTGGAACAGAACTGTTGGTAAAAGCAGCTGTAAAGTAGTAACAGACGTAACCTGTGAAACATCAGAGCGTGGTAGATGTACAAACTGCAGTAAGAGGAGTAAAAATGGCAGTAGTACCTACAGCAGAAGAGAGCAGCTGTAGTTGTATCAGCAGTATTAATAGTCGCATTAGAAATGAAACAGGGCAGATGGCAGTAATCGTTAGTGAAGTACTCTGTTCTGTTACTTAAGTAGAAGTAGTAATACCACAGTGTAAAAGGTTATGCATTACATTCTTACTTAGACATAGTTACTGTACCAACAGTAAAAGCACTCATTGTGCACTTCTCAATAACATATATTACTGGACGAAAAGCTGTGTAAGCAACGTTGCAAATGGTGAAGGAGGCGTATACTTTCTATACTGCTGGGTATCCTAATCTACAATAACACATCATTTATTAGTGACTTATATGTTGCATTAATAAGCCGAATGTGCAAAGTAACTTGTAACTATCATGTTTTCAGTACAGAGACTAACTGTAGTGGAGTAGAAGTATAAAATAGAAGATAAACACAGAAGGAAGTACAGCACTTGAGCAAATGTAGTTAGTTACATTCCACCCCTGGCAGTGACAGTTGTAGTATGTGAAGTATTAGAAGCAGCATCATCAGCATTAACAGTGTTAGAAAGTGGAAGAAGTAGCAGTAAGATTAGCAGGAGCAGTAGAGGTCAGTGTAGAACAGTAGTGGAACTGCAGTGCTGACCTGCTGTCGTTGTACAGAGCCTCCTTCTCTCCCTGCAGACGCTGAAAACTGCACAGAGACAAAGACATGCCTGGTCACTCCACTGTGGTCTGTGTAAAGTTCAGCTGACATGAACAGATCACCACGAGCTTCACACCACTGGGCCTGCTCTTCAGCCTGACAGATGTTACAGATGTTCTTTACTGGGCCTCCGCCCTGGGGGAGGTTAAAGGGAGTGTCTACAGTGTGTAGTGCAGAGATCTCACCTCTCCTGCTTCTTCTTTAACTTGTCAGACAGCTGCAGGAGGCACACACAGACAGGACATCTCAGTTAATCACTCTGATTTCACACTGCTACCAGTCATGGTTCTGATCAGTTCTGATCAGCCAACAGCTGTTCAGTAATCAATCAGTGAGGTGACCTGTTAGGCTTCACACTGATCCAGTTTACCTTTGTTATCTCCTCCTGCAGTTTGGTGACTTCGGCCTGTTTGGACACCTGCGAGCAGACAGGAGACATGTTTAGCACAGCCTCAGAGACAAGTCGATAGAAGACACACTCACTCACTGTCCACTTTATTGGGTACACCTGTATAGTCTAATTCAACCCAGTACAGTGTTTCCCCTAAGTTTACAGCTGTTTCTGTGTCCCACACTCAGTAACGACTCTGTGAAATCTGAGAATTCAATCCATTAGGTCCAAGAAGAATCCAGGATAAATGATTGAATCTGAACATGGCAAGCTGCACACAGTCATTGTAAAAAAGACATAAAACAATGAAAACTGTTTTCTGTGTCCCACACTCAGTAATGACTCTGTGAAATCTGACAATTCAATCCATTAGGTCCAAGAAGAATTAAGGTGGCTTGTTTTTGTGCCACTTCAGAATTTGTTTTCCAGCTGCAGACTGTCTGCTGTGCTGCTCAGTGTGCGTGTGTGGGTGCACGCGTACCTCAAGGTTTTGGATCTGCTCCCTCAGCAGCCTCTTCTCCTCCTGCTCGGTGTTCAGTGCCATCTCCAGCTCTGGTCCAAAGCAGTGAGTTATTGGACAGAGAGCAGCCGACCAGCCTAGCGCTGCCTGCTTAGCTACAATCTTCTCTACGCTCTTCTCTGACAGGCCTAAAGGGGGCGCTACACACAGCAGGGGCAGTCTGTTAGGCCAGACACACACTACACAGGCTCCTCACGCTACAAGATGTGTGAACGGTTTCCTCTGGGTTTGACCAGCTCACAATCAGACGTGGCTGTGAAAGGACGCAGTGTACTGGTGTGTTGGGGTGCGTCCACTGACAGCAGGTTCATCTGAGCTGTGCTGTGCCTCCACCTTCAGCTCAGTTTGCTTGTCCAGCTGACAAGGAGCCATTTCATTACATTTAAATCAGAAACTATCTGATCAAAGAACAAGTCAGTAACACTCAGAATCTGAGCAGAGGTTTGATAACAGCTTCCAGTAGGAGACAGCTCAGATGGTCCATTTCAGTCAGTCTGAATCTGGAACTTCTCCAGTACAACCCTAAGTGGAGGTTGTCCCATTTTTACCTTCTTATCACCAGCTCTGCCTGCAGCTTGACACCAGAGCAGTGTTCACTCTGGAGATCAGTGACAGTCACTGCATCAGAAGCCATAAACCGTACGAAAACAGATGCCACTTCACTTTTCTGCACTTTCACACTAAAAAACAACAACAGCCAAAGCCCTGAATTCCACCATAGATCAATTACTTTTATAAAACTGTTAATACAATATCATTTTCACAGTCAGGTGGAAATTAAATTTGGCTTTGCAGCTTTTCCAGAAAACATCTGATTTAGGAGCCTGATCTTGGACATCAGGGTGAAAAGGCCTGGTCTTCCGTCAGAAACTGGTTCAGTTGATCGGCTCGTAGTGTGTGTCTGCTCTGAGCCAGCCAGCTGCTCTGCGCTTACAGACAAGCTGCAGGTTCACCATAAACTCTCAAATAAAATGCCTGTAACAGCCTGCACTTTCAGCAGATGAACCAAATACAGGCCAGTGTTTGAGAATTTATAGTAAGAAGCACCATAAAGGGCCAAACCGGTGGGTTCACAGGTCGATTTATTAGTATGAGCCAATTTTCACATGAACTTTACACATCAGCTTTTAGACCGAGTCCTTCCAAGCAGCTTCAGTTTCACAACTCTATGAAACTCAGCCTGCAGAGAGGTCAGTGTTTCACCAACTCTGTGAAAGACGTGTTCACAGACACTGAAGGCAAGAACCTAAGCTCTGTGTTTAAGGGTAAAATAACAAATGGCAGACTGATGGAAACAGGAGTCTGAAACATATTCTACCATCGTTTGAACTTGTTAGTTTTGGTTTGATTTTCACACAAATAAATAAAATTAAAGATGCTGTCACTTTTCTGTTGACCTGATCAATCAGATGCCTGTTTCAGCTTTAGGCTGTGAAACATTTTAATGCCTAAATAAAAAACAAACCAAAGAACTGATGTTAAATAAAGCTTTGTCTGCATTAAGTGTCATGTGATTAAATGAAAAACAGGCTTGAAAGTATTTTAACGTTTTGTCCTTGTTGACTGAATGAACATAATAAAAAAGAAATAGATTGTCTCTGCAGGCTGTTTTTGACCCAACAGTCTGGTCCTTTAAGGATCTGACGAGGTTGTTAGTGAGCTGATGTACTAAATAAGTAAATTAAGCCTGTTGACTGAGATGCTTGCTAGTGCACTGTGCATGTTAGAGCGTTACTCTGGTGATGTTCTATATTGTCCTTTGATCAATGAATCCCATGTGCAGGCCCAAAGCCACAGGGAATAAGAGTTTTTCCAATATAGGAACCCACTGAAACGTGTCGCGCCGAGTAACAGTCGTCACGGGTTCCGCGGTTGTTTCCACTAGGGTGCACCTGTTTTGGAGGTGCATTCTGGGAGCTAGGTTAAATGTCCACCCAAGGACCAGGACTGTGACGGGGGAGGGGGTGCGTGCGTGCAGAGCAGTCGCCAGTGATTGGTTAAATGTCCACGTCCTCACACCTCAAGCATTAGCATCACAAGCACCGTGTGTAAATACACAGCTGACTGCGTGGGGGGGGCTCCCTCCTCTAAACAGAGATCGACAGAGAGAAAATACAGTGGAGAAACAAAGCAGGATGGTCGCCATCGACCCCGGAGGCTACGCTCGGTGATGGTTAAGGGAAGTACGCGTTAGGTTCAGATAGTGGAAGCACAGAAAAGGTCTCCCACTACCAGTCCAGTGTGTGCATCACAGCCCGATCGTTGTCCTCCATCCACTGTGTCCAGAAGCCATTAACATCCACCAGTGACCATGCTGCTGCACTGGCTGACATGTTTCTTCATCACCATGAACAGAGTTTACTCCGACTCAGTCCCACATACACCTTCCTGCTATGCGGATTCTTCTGCGGTTGAAAATAGTCCCCAACACGCTTTGTCTGATACCAACTAGGGTGAGCAGCTGTTTCAGGAAATTAGCAAAAAAAAAAAAATACACAAACGGTCTCTGAGCTGAGACGTCAGAATGTTTTGAAAGAGACTAACACATCGTGGTTTGAGTATCAGTGGGATTTGATGAGTAAGAACAATATAGAACCACACCACAATATTTCAACTGATCTCACAAAGATCAACTGGAAAAACTGGCTGTATTATTCTAATTATACATTTTACATGTATGAATGACTTGACTGATGCTGACAAATGACACATTCTCATAAAAAAAAAGAGAGAGAACAGAAGTGAGTTAAAAGCTCATGGGAACAGTGCGTGTTTGGTGAAGGGTTAAAGAGAATAAAGGCCCGACAGCAGAAAGCCAAGATTCCTGTGACCTTCTGGAGGATCGCTCCTGTTCCTCATCATGTGACATCCACACGGCTCCCTGGTCAGGGAGTCGACCACTAACCAAAGCCCTTCATCATTACAAATGTTTGCAGCAACACTGTCTTCAGGTTTAATTTAACATCAGCCTATTTTACAACTAAAATTAGTAGCACATTCCATTTTGTTTACATTTCACAGCAGTGAACCACTGAATCATGATCATCACATGAAGGAACAGGAGCGATTTTTAAAGGGGGTGCCATCATCATAAGAAGAAAAAGAAACTCACCATGTAATTGTTTGTCTCTCTGCTGCAGCTGAGCCTCCATCTGCCAAAACAAACAGCAGATTCCATATTTACATATGTAGACACACGTTTACATGAATGGTTAAAGAAGTTCACACAGTTGTTATCCAGTGGTTATCACTGTACCATCACAGCTGCAAATTCAACTGGACAGATATACTTGTGTTTGCATGTGCCTCATGGCTATATCTCATATATCCTGTCCTCAGATGTTAACACAGCCACAAGCTGCAGTGGAGCAAGTGGCCAGGGTACAAAGTTAGGTCAGCAGCAGGTTTGGATCAAACCCACAGAGACTGTCTGGCCGACAAACCATCTGAGACGGCATTCAACATCAACGATACTGTGACCTCCTCAGGTGTTATCATGAATTTTTGTTTCTGCCAGAGAGGCCCTAATCTGCTCTCCAGTGGAGAGACTCTTCCAAATAAAGTGCACAACCAAGTATGTGAACAATTCACTCAGCAGCTTTAATACTGTGACAGAGCTACATCTGTGGGGTGTGTCCTCATGAATAAAATGTTCCTGTCAATCACCTGTTCCAGTCTCTCATTGGTTCCCTCTGCTGCTGGCTCCTCCCCTCTCCCTGTGGCATCAGAGACTGCACCACTGCTGGCTGACCCGTCGGGCTCCGCTGTAGCACCGTGGTTGCCCTGGGCGACGGCCTGTCTCTGCAGCTCTTTGTCGTAGTGCTCCTGGAGAGCTGCAGAAGAGGCACAGTTCAGATCAGACTCATGCTGCGTGATGCTCAGTCTGTTTATGTATTACATAGGTGCTACACCTGCAGGAGCTTCTTCTACCGGCACCTTTTAACTTAAAAAAACAACACATTAATCCAACATACAAATCCACAGAGGAATTAAAATGTGTGTACACATCATTTCATCTGTAAATACCAGAAACATAAAAGCTGAGCACTAACAGAGACAGTTGACAGATGAAAGGAGGGTTAAGTGTTGGGGTTAGACATATTTTGAACTGGCCATAGTGGCTGCACTCCAATGCAAACAGCGGGGCATTATCACTACCAACATGCAAAGGCAGACAAACTGAATCTGCCACCTGTCAGCTGATGGTGAGCTGTGACATCTGCAACCTGCCCGTCATTTCAGTGAGCTTCCCGTAACAAGCAGAGCAGCCTCTAACAACACACCTTTCAGTTTCTTCTGGAGGGTGGAGTTCTCAGCCTGGAGGCGGAGCAGCTCTCCATCAGAAGGACTGGGGGGAGGGTTGGGAGGGGGGCTGGACAGAGAGGCGCCTCCTCCTTCCTTCAGGCCGTGGTTCTCCTGTTCCAGCTGTTCAATCTGTGTACACAGCTGCATACAGACAATGACAGCAGTAACTGTAACAGGAGGCAGGGCTTCCCTAGTCTGGCTTCCCTAGTCTGGCCTCCCCTAGTTTGGCCTTCCCTAGTCTGGCTTCCCTAGTCTGGCCTTCCCTAGTCTGGCCTCCCCTAGTCTGGCCTCCCCTAGTCTGGCCTCCCCTAGTCCGGCCTTCCCTAGTCTGGCCCCCCCTAGTCTGGCCCTCCCTAGTCTGGCCTTCCCTAGTCTGGCCTTCCCTAGTCTGGCCTTCCCTAGTCTGGCCTTCCCTAGTCTGGCCTTCCCTAGTCTGGCTGGCCACGTCTGAGGCCAGACGCTAATGCAAACACAGAAGATTGTCATAGATTCTTTTTGTTGTTGATGAGTTTTCTGTGTTACGTGTTGCTGCCCAGGTAACAGAGAGCCACGGTTACCTTGGACAGCTCAGTCATCAGCGTGCTGTTCTGTAGCCTGAAGTCTTCCTCCTGACTGTGGAGCTTCCCCTGAAGCATCTCGTTCTCACTCAGCAGTGCATCCACCTCCTACACAAAACACCACCACCACCAATATCACAATACACTTTAAAAATAATCTTCTTTAATGTCTTTGCACAAAAATACAGCGAACGCTGTAGCAATCTGTGTGGACCAGAATAACACTTACACTTCAAACCAGGAAACAACTATGTAAGTCAGAGGAATAAACGGGGGTGTTCTTCATACACAGAATAACAGGTCAGCCAGGTAACTCTGTTGATCATTTCACATGATCCCGGATCTACTGGTTCTTCAAAAGCCTAGGGGGACTTGTTGTCATGGCAACGTGTCCATAATCTCGTAACCTTCTCGGGAGCAGGTTCATTCTCAGCCTTATTCAATGTAAACAAGGTAATTTCACAGACTTAAAGGGTCTCAGAGCAGGAAGCGACTCACCGACATCAGAGTGACTATATTAAGACATGAGTTTAAAAGAAATGGACGACACTGAGAGACTGACAGAACCCTCTGGCCCAACCCAAACCCTTCTTAACCAGAGGGTACCGTTCCACTTAGGAGGAAATCATTTATGGAGATGGATGAACATTCCCCATGTTATTCATTAGATCAATGTGCTATGTTACAAATATTTAAATTTGTCTTACAGCATGGAGAAAAATTTACACTCCAAACTAAATATGAAAATGACAGGGGTGAAAACATTATATAAGGACATGCACAGACATAATTAGACATCAAGTGTGTGTGTGTGTTTGTGTGTGTTTGTGTGCGTGTAGACGGGTGAAAACCATCAGAGGGCGCTGATCAGCGAACACCTGTGTACTCACCTGTGCTTTTTTACTCTTATTTAGAGCCTGAGGGGACAAAAAGAACAAAAAAGCACAAAACACATGAAAATTAACAACATTGGCAAATTAACAATAAGAGCAAAAAACAGGTCACTTTGAGTGAATGTAAAACATTGTGGAGTCAAAGCTTCACATTCAGATGAAACAAACCGACACAAACTCTAGAAAACGTTACTTATTAATAATAATGAACTATTACCTTCTGTGCTTTGACAAAATCTCGTTCCAAAACCACATTCTTCTGACGGACAGCGTTCAGTTCTGAAACATAACACATCATTAGAACCGACCTCTTCTTTTACTGATCGACAGCCACATCACTGATCAATAATTAGTCATTAACAGTTTAGAAAAACAACATACATATCAAGTACATAATATTATTTAGATTTTTTGGAGTGGTTTGAGGGAGCTGTGTTTTAACCTGAGTAAATCAGGTGCTTGAAACATAAACGATTTAAACTAATCAATTATTTATGTCATGAATAAACCAATAAACCGAGGCATATTCACTAAAGGTCAGTGTGTCTACTCTGCTCGTCATCACACGGCCAAACAACATTCATCTGATTAAACACCAGAAGTCTACACAAGTCACAGGCAGTCGCCACATTTCCTCTGGTTGGTAATCCAACCCGGTGTACGTGCACGTAACGCTGTAGGTTTGGCTTGGCAGCCACAGCGCTTGGCTTTGTGCGTTTCACTTTATTGTCTGTTAGTTGTATGACAGCATTCGGTCTTATCTGTTTTGTATTCCCTTACCCTCGACAAATTAAACAGTAAAACTAAATCTACCAAACGTGGGACAAAAGCAAAGTGCACGGCAACTTCAACCCAAACATCATTGTCAGTAAAAGGCTGAAGCTCAGAGAGGTGGCTTACCTGTCGTGTTCTTCCTGAGATCATCAGACAGCTGATAGTTCTGAGTCCGCAGCTCCAACAGCTGAGCCTGCGCGCACGCACACGCACGCACACACACACACACACACACATTATTACCTTCCATCATTATCAGTCACCTCATCTTTATCACCAAAATGAAACATAAACAAATCTCTACTATTCACAACACGTCTGGCAGTGATGTCACTGGTCTGATGGTGCTCTGGTCTTGTGTGCAAGTTGTTATTTTCACCTGAACACTGAGTGGGGACTTGAGTTTGTAAAGTTGTTATTTTCACCCGAACACTGAGTGGGGACTTGAGTTTGTAGGTTTTCTACCCAACGTTTCCACACACACACACCTCTGGGAACAAAATGACCCTGACGTGCTGTAGTAATTTCTAATGTTAACATTTTTAAGAGCCTTCACACCTGACTTGGTGGGTTCAGATAAAACCCAGGTGTGTTTGGTCTGGTGTGATAGCTGTCACCGACACCCTGGTGCACAGTAAATAACCACACAGAGACCACCTGCAAACACACAATTTATGACAGCAGAAATGTGATTTTAGCAGGAATCTACTGACTGTGGCCTGATCTTATAATCAGTCTATACAAGCAATGGATACGTTTATGTAAATCATCCGGTGAAGCTCCAAAATGCCAGAGGATGCGGTGTCCCCACATGCTTTATGAGAGATGCAAACCGTCCTATGAGTGAGTTACCTGTCCATCTGTACAGCTTCATTTTTCTCTCCCTTGGTTTCTATGTAAAGGTCAGTATGAACACAAGCCAGACCAGCACTAGGAGAGAACCATGGATGTTTCCCTGGTCTGGGCCAAATGCACCAATCTACAGGCAAAAACTGCAGAGATGTGGTGGCTTTAATAATGACGATGGGGTCTGGTTAACACATCTACACTGAGGAAGGTAGAATGTAAGAACAAAGCCTGCGAGTGAACTCAAAAGGGCTTCCACTGTTTTAAAGCAAACGTCGTAAGTGTGTAACAAACCTATAGTGCAGCTCAGGAGCAGCATAGTGAACACAGGGTTAAACAAACTCAGGTGCAGTGCTGCTGGGTTACACTGCATTACAGCCAATTGTACCTAATAAGCTGGCGACTGATTCAACACCAACACAAGCTACAGCCTTCACGACGACCACAGTGTTGAATAAGCACCTCTGTACTGTTTCAACACAAACTGAACTGCAAGGCTGCTGCTTTACTTTTTGCCAAGTGTATCCAATAAATTAGCATCTGGGAGTAAAGCTTCCTGTAAACACATCAGTGTCTGCAGTTAGCATGCTAACAGGTGTCGTTCTGCCAGCTTTGCCTCTGCTCTGTCCTATGATTCAGTCACACACACTGTGTACACGAAGCTTTTGTGGCTAAAGCTGGAACTTGGCATTTAACGACAAAAAACACCACCGCTGCCTGTGTGTTAGCCTGACTCAGAACTCGTGACCCTCATCAGGGTGTGTGTCCCGTGGATGCTACCACAGCTAAGTCACAGATAGCCTTTAAAGCAGGGTTAGCAGCAAAAGAGCTAAATGAAACTATTTTTGCCCATTCCAGAGAAGCAGGCTAAGCTAACTGCTGTCAACATCGAGCTAGCATACTCCGGTCGACTGTCAAATTAAAACACTTTTCGTTCAGTTCATTATCACACAGAACAGAGCTCAGAAAGACCGTCACCTCCCTAGCGCTATTATATTGGTAGCGTCCCCAGCTAACGCTGAACACCGTTAGGTGCTCCCACCCGTTAACGGTTAGCATCAGTGAGCTAACGCCCCTGCAGTGATGCCGCACCTGGTTACTGTACTGACAGGTGCTCTTCACTTCACTCACAGCTACCTGTGTGTGAGCCCTGCAGTCCTAAATAACAGTCATTGTGTTTTTCTTACCTGCATCCGATGAAACTCCTCCTCTGATAGAGCCTGCGACATGGCCATGTTTACCTGGGCTGCTAGCTAGCAGGCTAAGCTAGCGGAGGAGACGGAGCTGCTAGCACAGAGAGTGACACAGAGGAGGAGACAGGACAGAGCTCTCACTCTGACGTTGTTTCCAGGAACGAACCACTGCCTCCCTCTTAGATTAAAAACTCGTGAAACACAGGGACAGTCTGCTTTAAACCTTTGAAACCTCTATAAGCCCCTGAAAAAAATATTTAGCCAGGATAAATTAAAACACATGATAAATAAAACAATGCCATATTCTAAGGCAGGCTTATGAAATGCTCTAAGCCAATATTTTGACAAAATTTCTCATAACTTTCACTTATTTTCATCGTTACATTGTTTTTTTCTGGGAGAACTGAGACAATACAATACAATACAATAACTCAGTAACAGACTATTTTCAAAGCAGATGTGTTGACTTGTAGTACACAGGTGCAGGCTATTTTTTTTAATTTTTTAATCTAATTGCATTTTAATGTTATATCTGTTTGTGTGCATTGTGTTAAGCACTTTGAATTGCCTTTATGAAAATGTGCTATATAATTAAACTTGCCTTGCCTTTAATTACAGGGTGCCAAATATTAGGCCTGAGTTCCTAAAGAAGCCAGTAAATTTGGGATAAATCAGCATTTCTGATGTTGCAGTGAATTCTATAATAAATATATTGCTGAGCCAGCTTTGTATTTTAGTTTTTTATGTCCTTGCTGTTGTATTTAATGTATAATATTATTTTGAAAAGTAACTACATCTGCCAGACAAATGTAGTGCAGTATAATTACATCATAGTCTGCTGAGGTATAGTGAAATGGAAAGTAAGGCAAAATAAAAATACTCATGTTAGGTACAAATACCTCAAAATTGTACCTAATTACAGTACTCTAGTAAATGTACTTTCCACCACTGGAGGGTGAGGTTGTGAAATCTTTAATAGAATGCCTTGAGTAAATCTGCTGATGCTTGCACATCTAGTATATCTACATGCAGACACAAACACAGGTGATGTGATTAAGGGGAATCAGTGTGGAAACGTGCCATCAATCTGGCATCTTCAGGAAGGAGACATCGCTCTCATTGGCACATTAAAGTTAAGTAATCAAGTTGCTGTGCTGAACATTTTGTTATGTCATTCCGTTCCTTCACACTTCCTCCTTGTTGTCAGTCCACTCTGAAGGGTGTCAAATTATCTTCTGTTAATTATCAACTAACAGACCAACACGGAAACAGAACTGAAACACAGAGATAAAGTGAGAAGTAAGAGCACAGGAGAGAGGCTGAGGCACAGAGAGAGCGCTGTGCCTCAGTTTCACTTTTGACCGGGCAGGCTGCAGTCACAGCTCTGTTGCAGTCAGAGCAGGTCGCCTCCTGTGCTGCGTGTTATCTGAGGTGACATGGAGCTGCTGCCCTCTCTGCTGTCCACCCTGAGGAGCCAGGATACTGGGACTCTGGATCACGAGTACAGTGTGAGTGTCTGTTGTCCTACTCATCACACTGTAGCTTCACACCTTCATCGGGCTGGTTTAAATTTAGGTTCAGTGGCTGGAATTACCTTAAGCTATGGTTAAGACAATCAAGTGTTTCTCTGTTAGGACTGAGGCTCTCCATGTTCAGAGGCTTGCGGAGAATTTCTAAGACCAATGTACTGATATGACTGATCAATATTTAATGTAAAATTTAAATAGAAATGCCTTAAGAATTTCAGAGCTCACAAAGTCTTGAGTAATTCTGGGGTTAGCGCTGAGGTCGATGCTGATGGTAAAGTACTCACACACTTCCTCAGAATGCAAATGTCTATAAGTTGTAGTCTGTTAAATTTCATTACTTGTCATTTGTGTGTGTTTGTCTGCTCATCCACTGTGGATCAGTGTTTTCCTGCTGCACACACACTGTTGGAAAACGATCAATGACTTCACACTGGAAGAAGTTAAACTACAGCAAAACTACTCTAGAGAGAAATGTAGTTTGGTAAAGTTCCCCAGAAAGAGTAGATCAAACGACTTTGTAAAAAGTGATCAAACTGACAATGTGCATGTGATATAAAACTATAGCATAAAAACACTCGCGAGCAAAAGATGCCACTCAGTTGAGTTTCTTTTTCTGAGACAAAAAACCCATCCTAAACAAAACAATCCCTTCTGGGCTTTTCACTATGATATTATATATTTCTTGGAAACTGGGATGTTACATTAGCTAAAACAACTATTATATATATGTGAGCCTGTTATTTTTACTTATCAGGCTTTCAACATCCAACTTGTACCAACTTAACAAACAAAACAGTCTTGAACTTTCACCTTTCAGACCGTATGAGCAGTGTGAACTGGTCTAACTGGCCCCGTCCTTTCTTTAGCCGACCACCGTACAGTCTTGGTCTATCATTATGTTTGCATGTCACTATAATGCCCTTTGGCTTTAAAAACACAGAGGTTCACCTCAGCGAAACCACCTGTTGAAACAACATCCCGCTCTGATCCGAGTCTAAAACACCACTAACATCTAAACGTAGATTTGATTTCTCTGAGGTTCTCGAGTCCAACATAGCTGTTCGACAAGTGTCACAGTAGAATGTAGGCCTAATGCTCATTGTCTCGCTGGTTCTAACAGCGGTTGACGATGTGACAAGTCCTGGGCTTTAATGAGCTGCAGAAAATGAACTTAAGCGTATTCTAGTCTGTGTCAGACTGTATCAGAGTCCAAAGCCTGGAGCGGTGGCGGGCTTCAGAACATTTGCTGCCAGGTGCAGGAACAAAGCTGAATAATAATTAGTTCACTTTTAGGCTGTTAAAGGTGATATCACTAATGACCCTGAGGGTTTGCTGCATTTCCCTCATCTCTCCCTGCTACACCCTAACAGCAACATACTTCGTTTACAGGAAAACAAAGTTCAGGTTCAGGCTTGGCTCCAGGAGAGGATGTTTGGGTCTGTTTTTACTTTTTCAGAAGATAGTGGCACCAGTCAACGCCGTCACGCCTCTTCATTTTTGTACCGTGTTGTAGATTTAACTTGTTTTGGTCACAGATATTTACAGTTAGCACACTGACACAGTTTGGGTTAAATTACCAGTAAGCCATCATCTTGTTTTCAACTACTAACTCAACAGTCAGTCCTAAAATAAGGGAAGCATCGTAAGCAGCAGCCACGCTCTCGTCTCTTTGGTTGTAGTTGCATGACAAGAGGCTGTGAACATGCATCTGTGGTTGAAGAGCGCAGGGCAGAAATAAGATGCACGGTTAATCAGAGGAGTGTTTCTGAGCACTCAGTGCCGTGAGACACTGTACTACTAAGACCCACCTCGGACTGGGATTGAACAAACCTTTAGTCAACCTGCTGTCTCCAAAGTCAAACCAGCTGTGCTGCTCACAAAACATGTTTCTTCTCCAACAGCTAATGTGCTACAGGAAAAGTTACTGAAAAAGTTTTAAACATTAAAATGTGACATTGGATTTTGAATCTAACTTGAAGCGCATTTGAAAAACTCGGTACCAGAACCCAGGAGTGTCTTAGGCCTTTTGGTGTAACCGTGCATTCAGATGTGCAGTCAGGTGTCAGATCAGACTTACTGGGCCAAACAACAGCCATGATGCACACATTCAGCCCAGCTGGTTGGCAGACATCTGTCAGACCCAGCGCGCATGTCTCTATGCACTTTGACATGTCTGACATGGCAGCAGGACCACATGGTAACACTCTGCCTGGGCCTGGGACAAGGGCTCGAATCCGGGTCTTAGTGTGTGTTCAGTCATGGACTGATGTTTACATCTGGACTGGTTTATGTTTATTAGAAGTAAAATGCATAAATAAGGTGGGAACATGTATTAATTAGCCCATATTAGGCTGAGGTATATTATTATAGCACATTTTCAACAAGAAACACCATAAAACCCTTTGCAGAAATAAAAATGTTTAGTTATGAAATCATCCATAATCAGCATCTGCTTCTTTCAACGGTTCAACTTGAATTTAAATTTCACAGTGTGGAAACACAGTCAAGAGTTAGCTCCATGTTTGATACCCACCAAAGGGATCTGAGGTGACGGAGGTCCGAGTCCATCTCAGAGTCCTCCTGTTTTACTTGTCTCTGGGCGACATGGGCAAAGAAGCTGTCTGTGTGTTCAAATAAAACTTTAGGTGGTTTTTGTGATTTGTGTGAACTGAGCCTTTAAGAAGCTAAACTAACTCTTCTCATTGTGAGAACCCAGAGAGCAGGTTTCCTCAGCTTCAGTCTGACCACAGGAGCAAACCAACAGCACGTTTGTGTCTAAAACCAGCTGACACATGTAGGTGTTGCCTCTGCTGTCGGCCGACCCCGTCTGTGTGTCAGTGTGCTCACTTTGTCCCAATTTACATAATTCTTACTTCCTGTTTCCTACAAACTGTCACATTTCAGACCATATAACAATCTGAGGAAGTTTTTCAGTTTGATAACACAGCACATATTTGTTTTCATGGCCTGTGGGCTACCTGAGGGGCGACAGCCCGGGTGCTGAGAAACACAGGAGGCAGATTCAGTTTGTTATCAGTGTGTGTGCTGTAAGGTGAGTCCACAGCTTGTCAGTAATCCTGCTTCCTCATTCCTCTACTAACCCATATCAGCATCCCCGTTGTCACTGTTGCTGTAATGACTCATTCAGTGAAAATGTGGCAACTGAAAGACCAACCTGAGATGCAGCTTTGCCTCAGACTGAGCTCAGCCTGGTGTCATTAACTCTCATGTGTAGATTCAAACCACTGCTGAATGTCTCTGACTAACAGGTGTTGTGTGTCCCCACCTCAGGCCTCAGTGATCTGTGTGTGTCAGGGCCGTGTACCCGCGGACAAAACGTTTGCTCACTTCAGAGTTTGGTGAATCTGTGATCATTCATACGAACAAACGTCACAAGAAGAATATAAATAAGCTCATGGCTGAAGCCTGTTGTATGTTTGCTCAGAGGCACCGAGGCTCCGTGTGGAGGCTGAAACAGGAAGCAGGGCACATACAGGAGGGCTGGCAGGGTGAGAGCATGCTGTGGTTTCTCACTGCACAGAAGTGGCAGAAGTACTCAACATCAGTAAAACAGTCAGATCAGGATCCTCAGAGTGCTGATGCCAACTGCCTATAGTGTTCGTTTGACATGTCTCATGACATTTCTGCAGAAATCAAACATGTTCAAGTGTTGTTCATTTGATAAAACCTCAGCTGCGATGTGAACGTAGCTTTATTCCACCTTTCCTTTGCTATCACAACCTTGATTGTCATGTTTTTATCACATCACACTTTCTGTGCAACTATATGAACAATAACCTCTTTGTGTGTGTGTGTGACAGCTGATGCGTTTACAGAGCACTGTGTTAAAGAGAGGCCTGAGTTTGACCACGGAGGCCGGAGCTCTGAAGGAGAACATTAAGAAGAACAGATACAAGGACATCCTGCCATGTAGGTGCACTCCACCTTCTCTCTCAGCTCTTCTCTCCACCTTCCAGCCATCACCTCTGGCCTTTGATTCATTTAGTGACATTGGCTGGGGCAAGTTGAATTTGTTTTTACATCATTAGTGAAACATTTTTCCCTCTGTGAAACAAATTGGTACAGTTTAAATGTCTGTAAATTAAAGGACACGTTCATAGTTTTCCAAGTCTGAGTCATGTGTACACTGCTCACAGTGGACATTCAGAAATCCAGTCTTTGTTTGACATCCACTTGGTTTTCAGTTACTCGGACTGCCTCATTTCACTGCAGGTCACGTTTAGAATATACTGTCCCGACTAAGACAGCCCTTCTGAGGACAGGACACAGTTTGACACTCATCCTGTTGAGAACATTTCCTGAGATCACATTAATCTGAGGAGAAGAGGGTCCTCCTCACCGGACCCCTTCCTCTTGTCGAAGTGAAATGTACAGTCAAACATCACACACACCTCCGTGTATGTTTTGTGCACCAGTCACAGACACACACTCTCTTTTCAGAACGCAGCGACATCACAGTCACTGCATGTCTGTCTATTTGAGGTTGCCATCTGTGAGTCTCAACTGGTTCGTTTCTGCACCGAAGACGTTAGCAGATGTGAAGAGTCCAAAGGCAGCAGCTGAATATTCTGAGTGGCAGTGATCCAAAACAAAGTGGCTCGGCTTTCTCTTGCTGTTTGGTGCTATAGCGCCCCCTGGCGGCAACACTCAGGCTGCAGCTAGCACTGTCTGCTGACAGCACTGCATCAGATCGCTCTCATGCAGCTGGATGCATCTGTGTTCACGTGTGTGTGACATCTGTCCACCAGTGTGAGCAGCGGTGCTCAAACGGACTGTTTGAAACTTGAAACATTGCAAAACTGTCCTTTACAGGTGTACTGATGGACATACTGTGTGTGTGTGTGTGTGTGTGTGTGTGTGTGTGTGTAGACGACCAGTCTCGGGTGGTGCTCACTCTGGTGACCTCAGACTCTGACTCTGACTACATCAACGCCAGCTTCATCAAGGTGACAGCTGCTTCTTTCCTTTCATGTTCCTCCTCCTGTGCGTCCTCATCTCATGCCCCGATTCCACCTTCATACAACTCATGAACAAAATAAAGTGACTAATGTTAATGCTAAAATGTAGAACCAGTCCACGAGAGCTGACTGTTGCACCACATTGGGTATTACTCAGTCCTCAGCATCACAGCACATACTGGTTATTTCCCAAACTTCTTCTTTTGCACTGTACACTGGTGATTTTACTATGATGCTCTGCTATGTGTGTTTTCAGTTCTCTGCTGGATTAGCACTTAGTTTCATGAGATAAGCACACGTTTCTTTCATGTGAAGGTGTTATTTCAGCTTGTGATGCTGCTGTGAGATACAGTAGATAGATAGATAAACAGACTTTACTACTCCTGAAGGAGAAATTCTAGGGAAGTAATGCTGGTGTCTGTCCTCCAGGGGGCATCAGCAGAGCTCAGGTACATCGCCTCCCAGGGTCCACTCAGCTCCACCCTGACCGACTTCTGGAGGATGATTTGGCAGCATGACGTCAAGGTCAGACACACAAAACCAGTCAGTCTGGAACCGTTTTTGGCCCGGTGAGCTTAGCGAGCATCAGCCTGGTGCTTCCTGCACCTGTGTCCAGCAGGCTGACGTGGTCCGGTGCGCTTTGCTTTCTCCCAGTGTCAGTCGTGTCCAGTCACTGTTTACACGGGACGGGGACATGTTCCTCACACCCTGCAGCGGTGGGGACTGTACGGGCATCACAGAAATGCGCGTGTGTTGACATTTAAAATACATAAAACATAAAACACATATCTATTCTTTTAGCTGCCATCAGAACAAACTAAGTTGTGTGAAACACTTATAAACAACAACAACATAAACAACACTTAAAAACATCACAGCCAAAAGTCAAAAGGTTCCAGTGGATAAAAACTGAATAAATCCAGATTAAACTTGGTGTAAACATGTCTATAAACTTCATTCAGCAGCTTTTAAACAATGTAGCTTTGCTGCTTATGTTTGTGTGTGTGTATAAATATAAATATACACATAAACACACTTTGGAATAAGAAACTGTAGTTGCAGAACTATCCCCTACTTAGTGTCCAGCTGAGCAGTGTACACCAGTATTTTCATTATCACGGTTTAATGCTCAGATAAACGGTGTTACATGGACACGGTTTCTTATTCCTCAGAGAACTCCTTCCCTCTGCCGACGTCTCCAAACACGTAGACGATCTAAGTTCCTGCATCAGACACGGCCAAAGACATTTTCATCAAACTGAAAGTCATTTTAACAACTTTCTTCCAAAACAAATACAATAACATTTAACAAATGTTGCTATGAACGTGACAAACCATGTCAAAGTGATATTCTTTGTGTTAATAATACGTCACCGTTCCTGTCAGGGCTGCTTCAGCTCCTGTTGTTAAAGCAGCTGTGGACCATACGTCACTTTGAACAGATTTAATATGAGTCAGACCAAGCCAAACCATCAGTCACCTCGGTGAAGTGCTCCTTGTCTGCCCAGCGGGCTCTGGCTAACGTCTGACAGTGTGTGTTTCAGGTGGTGATCATGGCCTGCAGAGAGATCGAGATGGGAAAGGTAAACACAGTCACAACCAGCTCCTCCTGTGTTTCTGCTGATTCACAGCCTGTCCAAGGACACTCGACTGACTTTCACCTTTCTGCTCATTCATTTACTTTGCCAGGAAAAGAAACACATGAGCAAATGAACTTAAACAAAATCAAACTTTTCATTCTATCTCAAAACTACTTCACAGACTTTTCACAGTCTTGTAATCCTGATATAAACGTCTTCATTTTCTATTAGCACTTCTTCATTTTGGTCAGTGTGTCATAAACTGGAACACTGATATTTATGAGTGAGAATTTGGACTTATTATAAGTCAGGCTTTATTTTGTACAGAGTTCACATATGAATCTGTATTTGTGCATATATTTAAATGTTGTTCTTGTATTTTCCTAAAAAATTCTCTCACCATGTCTGTGTTAACACGAGCTGTGGTGACGTCTCGTCCTCTGTAGAAGAAGTGTGAGTGTTACTGGGCCCCAGTTCACCAGTCGGCTGCATTTGGACCCTTCACTGTCTATAACGTAAGAACAAACAAACCTATGCAAAAGTCTGTTTCACTGCCAGCAATTGTTTCAACTCATCAAAATGTAGTAGACATTTTACCTGTAAAACGGGTATCAAGACGGTTAAAAGGCTCAGAACGCCTGTCATGTATATGGTGGACTAGTGAGGCGGCGTTTCATGCACCAGGGGCCCGAGGGCTGAAAGGGGTCCCTCAACTGGAGCCTGTTTGAAGTGACTGTTAACAGTTCTTGTTGGAAAGTCAATCAAGTGACTTGACTCAGATAAACCAGAAACAGACCCACACATCCAGTACTGCAATGTCAGCAAATGACCACAAAACGATGCCAAATGACTCAAAAGACTCACAAAATAACAGAATTAGATCAAACGCACAAAACAAAGTCACAAAAATACACAAAACAGCTACAAGTTGGAGCAGAAACACAAAACTACCAAAGACAAATACTATGACTATAAATCAAATCAAATTTTATTTGTATAGTGCCAAATCACAACAAAAGTCATGTCAGGACACTTTACAAAGTAAGGTCTAGACTTTACTGTTATCAATATTATTACATAGGGAAAACCCAACAAATCCCCCTTGAGCAAGCACTTGGTGACAGTGGGGAGGAAAAACTCCCTTTAACGGAAGAAACCTCCGACAGACCCCGGCTCTTGG